TCAGTCCATGATTGCTGGGTCCTGTGGTGGCAAATATGTCATGGTGGGAGGCCCTGGTAGAGGAAGGCTGTGTACATTATGATGACTGAGGAGCAAGAAGAGAGATGAAGAGGCTGGGGTCACTACTGACTTCAAGTACATGACCACAACGACCTAACTTTCTTCCACTGGCCCACAGCTCTTAAAGATTCTAGCACCTCCTAGTATTGCCACTGGCTTGTGACCAAGTCTTTAACAGATTGTCTTTGGGAGATATACAAGATTCAAAGTATAAAAACATGGCAGTTCTATTTTTGATTTTTAAAAGGATCTCCCAACTGGTACTAATTTAGATTCCTACAAGCAGTGTACTAGGATTTCTTTTCTCCACATCCTTACCAGCACATGTGAGCTTTCATGTTTCTGATAATACCATTTTGACAGGTGTTAAGTAACAATCTCGTGGTTTTATCTTAAATTATTTTTACTTAGACTCATTACTCATTACAGATGGACTGAAACCACTATGGATAGTCTGCCATGTCACAGGAGCTCAGGGCATCTAACTTACTGTCTTTTTTATTGGCCTGAGGACAGATAGAGCCCCTCACTAGCACATATGAAAATTTCTTGCCATCCAGAGTTTCCCACAGTTGCATATTTCCATGATGGTAGTGTCTTTGCTCAGGCAACTTAGGACAATTGGGCCTATATCATCTACAAACTTTATGATTCTCTGGTAGAGTTGGATGAAAGAATAGTGTACTTGAAATTGGGAGGAAATAAGGCAGCAACTATAATGGTCTGAAGATGGATGATAAGAAGCAGTAAGAAACAGATGCAGGTAGGCTGGTGACCTTATTCTCCTTTGTTCAATGTCTGACTCTTCATTCAGAACCCTGACTGGGCCGACCTATAGTGGTCCCAGGCTCACCATAGGATAATTGACAACAACTCTCAGAGGTGATAGTTATGCAGGAGTCTACAAACTTCTAAAGCAGCCCCTTTGCAAGCCCAATTCTGTTACTGGTTATACCTAGACCCAGAATCCAACACCCAACATCAACTCCAGTGCTGGAGGTAGGCTCATGAGACTTTTTCTGATGCTCAAATCCTTTCTTTAGTCCTTTATTTCCTCATCCTAGCTCTTATAATAAACTTCCCTGTTCAGTAGTAGTCATAATGGCTATTTTTCCTGGATGGAATTTGTATTTTCAGTTATGCTGATCTAGACTTCTGGACAAAACAATTTCCAAATCTAGTGGATTAAAACCATGATAATTTTATTTTCTTATGATTCTTTTGGGTTTAAAGGGAAGTTCCTTTTCTATTTATGATCAGAGTCATGTGACTACAAGCGGAAAAATCTAAAGAATTAACTTTTTCTTGGTAGTCTTAGAATCTCCAATACTCTCCACTACCCTAGTTGGGATTTGAAAGATTAGATAGGGTCCCTAAGAACACAAAAGTGGAAAAATCTGTCATGCCTGCTGTATTTTATTAATTAAGGCAAATCATGCAGCCAGTGCAGATCCAGTAAGGGGACTACATAAAGCCTTGAGTAACAGAATGTGTGCATCTTTAGAACTCATTTTGAGTACTAGACAGCAGAATCTGAGGGGAAGGGTGATGTAGTTGACCACCCTAATTTCTGTGTTTCTTTGAACTGTGCTTTTCTGAGGCCTATTTACGCTGGTATAGTTATTACTCTGGTTTTGGGTCTCACTATTTACACAGGCACTCTTAGATACTCTATTCTATAATACCAGTCATGAACAGAAGTATAGGATAGATATGGCTGAACAACTGAAACTATGACTGTATATCACTTCTCAGTCCTACAACATAGATCTATAGGTGAAGGTGTTTATCTTGTGACACTGTAGACTTCCTGTGTCCAGAGATATTACCCTCTTATGTCATTGCTCATTTTGCCCTGAATATATTTGAGTGTCTGAGTTTAGTACAGGAGCTGTGATCTTTCATTTAAGATTCCTTTATTCCTTACTGGGACAGCTTAGACTGATTTCCGTCTTCTAGGACTGCTAAAATCATTGTGCCTAAGCTTCTCTTACTAACGCTGGTACTTTCACATAATTAACTAGACCAACTCAGATCACGAGTGATGTCATGTGGCTTACGTGAACAGCTCCTGAGGACACTTTATGGTATAGTCACTGCTGTTAGCTTTTGCTGTGATAGAGACAAGCTGGTTTTGTATGCATGTGGCTATTCATTTGTTCAAGGCTCTGTGCTTAGAAAGGCTCTGAGGTTAGTTCAAGTTGTTGTTCTTGGCATCTTGAAATTTCTATTAATTTTTTTTTATCCATCCCATTAGTGAGTTAGAAATTTCTATTAACTTTTTAAAGGAGAACTTTCCTTTTTATTTTGACTGGGAAACACAAAGCATATAGCCTGTCCTCCCATGCAATTATCTGATCATCGACAAAGGGATAGAAGACACACAGTGGAGGAAAAATGGCCTCTTTAACAAATGGTGCTGGGAAAACTGGGTAAGTGCATGTAGGAGATTGAAGCTAGACATATCTTTCATTATGTACTCAACTAAAATCAATATGAATAAAAGATCAAAATTTTAAAGCAGAAACACTTAATATTCTGGAAGATGGAATAGGAAAAACTCTTAAAGACATAGTCATATGTGAAAGCCTTCTGACTAGTATTCTAATGGTACGTGAAAATACCAAAAATCAACAAATAGGATCATATTAAAATGAAAAGCTTCTGCACAGCCTAGAAAACAAACAGTGGTCAGAAGAGACAACATATGCATAAGAATTTTACTGGCTATTTTAGACAGAGGACTAATACCTAGAATACTTAAAGGATTAAAAAATAGACTTCCCCAAATGAAAGACCCAATCAAAAATGGGCAACCGAAATAGACATTTCTCAGAAAAATTACAAGTGGCCTATAAATGCATGAAAAAGTATTCAATGTCTCTGGCTATTAGAGAAATGCAAATTGAAAGAACATAGTAGATACTACCTTACTTCAGAAAGAATGGTTCTGGTGACAAAATCAAACAATGACAAATGATACAGAAGCTTCCAGAAAGAAAAGAGCCCTTCTACACTATTGGTGGAAATGTAAACTAGTGCAACAATTAGAGAAATCAGTATGGAGATTCCTCAAAAAGTAAAAAAAGAAAGAAAATTTTATCAGTCCTGGGGATCGAACTCATGACCACATGCTTGCAAGGCAGGTACTTATGCTGCTGAGCTAAATCTCCAGCCCCAGAAAAAAATTTTTTAAAAAAGTAAAAACAGAAATTACATTTAACTTCTAGGTATCATTCCAAAAGGTAAAATATGTAACACTGCAGTGATACATGCATACTCATATTTATAATAGTACAGTTCATAATAGCTAAATTTTGAAAGCAGCTTATAACTCTGTGAACAAATGAATGAAGAAAATATGGCATTTATATACAATGAAGAACTACTTTCTCATGAAAAAGGATACACTTGAATCATTTGGGAGAAAATGGATGTATCTTGAAATCACAATGTTAATTTTAATGAATGAGAGACACAAGTTTAACATCACATGACTTACTTACCTTACATGAGAAAGTCAAAATCCAAAAAGGGATGGCAAAAGGGGAAGGGGGTTTAACAGAGAGTAGAAGGGGAAGGTAGGAAAGGGAAAGTGATGAAAAAAGAATTCAGATGTTTTATGTACATGTGGGATCTGACTCCAGTCATTGCAATCATTATGTACTGCAAAAATGTACCAAAAAAACCCACACAAAAACAAAAAGAAAGTATGCAACCTTTCCGGACTATGACTATAATAAACATTTATTTTTCTTATCCTTACTTACTCAAAGCTAGTTATTTGACAGACCTAGAAACAGAACTACATCAGGCCCTGACCGGGGGAAGGGAATAACTCGTTTTTTGGGTCTACCTATACATAGTTATTGCCCTGGAGCATCAGAGAGGGAAATACCTGAACTGATAAACTTGCCAAAGGAGCTGTGGGGTGGGTAGATGGGAAGGACATGGGGAAATTCTGACCATTTTAAATATCTCTATTGCCAATACAAATTTTAGGACTTCATTTTCCTCTGGTTAAAGGCCAGGTGTTTAACACTTAACTGTGTTCTACATTTTTGCCCTGGCTGAACAAGCATTACCTGCTAGAAGAACCAACATTGCCAACAGAATGTCCATGCCAAAAGCACAGTCCCAGCTGCTGTAACTTATTTCCTCCTCCAAATGCTGTGGGAACAATCAAGTTTGCCTGGTAATCAGTAGTCTCCCAAGTATTTCTTTCTCCTTTGAGATTACTTCCTATTTAAGCTCTGTCAACCTGTTTTATCAAACCAATTTACTTCTGGCGATCAAAGTCTATTCAATGCGGGGAAATTGTTAAAAGTGACCCTGGGACTCGCCTTATATGACTTTCATTTTAGTTTTCTTCCAAACCAGAGAATGATTCCGACCAAAATTACTGAGCTAAGGAAGTAAATAAGTGGATACGTTTGTTTAGTTCCTCTCTAGTACCTTGCTGAAATAGGGAGGTAAAACTTCTTATACAATGTATGAAGTCCAGAAATTGTAATGAAAACCTATATTGTTATACCTTGGACCATGACAGCAGCTGTTTTTTTTTTTTTTTTAAAGATAGTTTCTCACTATGTAGCCCACGCTGGCCTTGAATTCATGGTAATTGTTCTGTCTCAGCCATCCAAGTGCTGAGATTTTGGGCATGTGCTACCATGCCAAGCTTGATGAGAAATTTATAAATATGGCCATTATGTAAATCTGCTCTTCTTTAATTGGTCTCACTCATCATTATGATTGTAACTCCAGGACTGTGACTCTGAATGATGAATTGCAATGTATTTTAAGTATACTTTATTTTTTTCTGAAAATAAAATCAATAATAGCTTCAGTAATTCCTATAATTAAAAAGTATAGGGACAGGTGTGATTTTTTAAGAAAAAAGAGGTTAATATTTATATTGAAGTGAAATTAGGAAAAGCTGGTTCGACAGGCAGTATCCAATTTTATTTTACTAGTATCGTCATAATTACAAATTGTAGTGAAAATGAACTCATCAGTTGTAGTGTATATCTAGAGATTTTCAGTGACCATAATGCCAGCAATTAAAAACAATAGCACCAAAACTCAATACATTCTTCCCAAATATTATATACTTTATTTTTATACATGTATTTTGAATAATCAAATGACACTTTTAATTTCTTTATAAAATTTGAGCATAATTTTAAAAGCAGTTCACCACAAAAATAATATACAACTAAAGGTCAATATGAAAAAGGATCTTTATTCCTCATAATTTATGATAAAATAGTGAATAAAACTCTTAACATTGAGAATTGATAGCTTTTTCACATGTCTACATAGTATTTATATTTATCAAAATAACTCTTCTAGACTTCTATTGTAGTTTGAGAACTCACTGGATGAAATTAAAAATTCAGGAATTTCCTTTACTGATGTTGGTTTGGCTCTTACAAATGTGTTCCAGGGCTGCTTGAAGAGTTTTTCTTTTTTATGACACAAATAACGGTACTTAAAATAATGCTTACAACTACAACAGACAGCACTACTGACAACACCACAGCAAAAACATTAACTCCAGAAGAATTATTTTCCTCAGGATCAGGATCTGCTTCAGGGATAAACAAAGCCACTTGAGCAATGTTGGACACTTTTGATGTCAGACTGCTTTTGTCTACACTTTGAATGGCAATGAAGATGTGGGTCGCATTTTCTTCTGAGATATTTCCTGGTTTAAATGTGAAGGTTTCCTTGGAGTTAGCTTCCTTTGGCACCAGGTCAGTGGTGTTAACTTGAAGAGCAGCATCAAAATTGTCTCTCAGCTCAATCATGCTTCCACTTATCCTTATGATATATCGTTCAACTAAGAAAAAATTACATCTAGTTCAGTAACTGTAGAATGCTGTATTAAATTTCTTTCCATTTATTCCTGAAGACATTCTTCAGTTATACAAAGTATACCCTTGGGCTGGGGATATAACTCAGCAGTACGGCACTTGCCTAGCAAGTGTGAGATCCTGAGTTCGAGTCCCAGTACCCCAAAAAACAAAAAATTCAAAATACACAAACAAACATCAAACCAAACCAAAATTAAAAAATCAACCACCCCAAATATATTCTTATATCAGAGGTCTCAGTGATTGTTAATAAAAGCTACATTTCTGCCAAATGCTACTATCTTAGTATGAAAAGAAGGACCAGATAAAATGTGTCATGTTTGATTGACACAAAAATTCTAAAGTTAACAGTATGTTGAACTGTCACTTAGGTACCCTTCTCCCTTAAGTTACTCTTATACCCTTGCTTTAGCAAAGAGCATCTTTAACTACATGAATAAGACACACGACACTTTGTTCCTACCTTTTCCAACATCAAAATTCTCTCCTGGTGCTGTCCATGTTAGAGTGACCTCTTCTCCTTCAGGTGTGGCAGCCAGGTCTGTGATTTGACTGGGTGGGTATGGGTCAGTGACTGGAGTATTTGGATACCCTGATACCACAAATGCACCTCCAGATGCTGTTCTGCTGAAATTCTCCAGAATTGTCTCAGTATTCTCATCAGCTTCAGGTCTTGGTGGGTTTCCTTCGATCTCCCCTACATGAAATAAATAGTCTCCAGTTTCAAATGGGCAAAAGTGAACTGGTCTTTTTTAAACACAGTGAAACACTTCCCTTATCTCATTTGTCCTTTTCTTTTTTGCCATATACACAGATACATTTTGGCTAAGACTTGTGACACAATATTAAGATTCAAATTGATGGGAGACTTCTGTCATTAGTATCCTAAACAAGATGTTATAGGGTAAAAATAGGTAATAAATTGCTTGGGAATGATGGCATATTTAATAAGAATAATTTTATATAATTAAATGTATGCCCTTGTTCTCTCAAATTATCTCCAAGTGAGAAACATACCTGGGAAAATTTCTAGATCCCTTCCAAGTATTTCTAGTTTCTTCCTTCTCTGCTGCAAATACTATGGGTATTGCAACTGCTAACAAAAAGCCTTGGAGAATCAGTCAGAAGATCAGGGGAGAAAAAAGGGACAGATAGCAAAGACTGCAGTGCACATGCTTGGCATCACCTTACTAACACGGATTTTCTTTTGACTTCATGAGGCATTCTAAATATTTAATGTTAGACCATGTATAATCTGAAGGAAAAATCCTGCATCTGACTTGTATTTATGTTTATTATATATTAGATTGTTTTCTGTGTCCTGAGCTGAAAGTTGGGTATATCATTGTTGATATCATCCAGGTGTTCCAAAGTAACATAATACCAGCTGGCCTATCTGAGTACTCACTAAGGGCCTGACTTCTTTCCAAAGCTGAATTTGGAGGCAATTACCTGAGTATCCCAGTTCAAAAACAGGACATCTGTATTGAGTTGTGAAAGGAAGCCCCCTCTCTCATACCAAATTGCAAATATTACTCCAGCCAGCACAGGTTTCAGGTAGCATGAGGCACTCACCGTCCACTACCCAGCCTGGTATATATGCGGCTCTGCTCAGCGCATGCTTTAAGCTTCTCCTGGTAGAGCTTGTTGCCGCGTGAGCTCGCACTTTCAAGCTGTATCTGCCATTTTCCGAATAACCTGTAAAGTACCTGGAGTAGACCCCATCATCTTTGAAAGCATCAGCACCTAGTTGTAGAAATGAAAAAACAAATTATTACTGAAAATAAGACAATAAATATATGCATTTTCTGAGACAAGCATTGGTCTCAGTAAGTGTATCATCCATACTAGAGGAGGTATTTTGGGAACAACATTCTGGAGAATATTCCTGGTTTTTTTTTTTTTTTTTTTTTGTCTTTTTCCTTTTTATCAGTACCAGGGATTGAACTCACGACTGCCTGCTTGCAAGGCAGACGCTTATGCCGCTGAGCTAAATCCCTATCCCCTAACATTCTGGAGAATATTTCTGTAATGTTCTGATAAAACAATATATTGATGAATCAATGCCCATTAGTTTTTATTTTTAGTGTCTTTATAGCTATTCCTCTATAACACATATACACACATTTTGATTTCTATATTTATAATAAATAATTACACATCACATCTTTCTTTACCTTATCAATTTAAATATAGTTTATAATAATCTCTTACCATTTCTCTGGCAATGGTTGTATTATGAAATTCATTGTCCCATCTCTGTATAAATTTAAAGGGTCCTCACTATGAAAAAACCATGCTTTGGAGGATTTATTTTTAGTATCCTCAACTAAAAGTACTTGTTTTGCCTTACCTTCAATAATTCCTCTATATTTTTCACTGCTCTTGTTATCCTCATACATTAATTCTCTAGTCTGACAGAGGAAAACAACCTTTACTATTGAATAAACATTTGAAAGAGCTCAGGACTACTGAGTACTTTGTGATTAGCGTGGGAATCAAATACGAAATTGCAAAACATATTTCCAAAACACATTTAACATTCTATGTCAGAGTATCTGTGTCTCTCACAACTACAAACTTTAGACATGCTAATTTCTCAGACTATCTAGGGAAAACCTCAGAATTATGTTTTAGCAAAGCCTCCAGATGATTCCTTTACACAGTAAAGCAGTGATGGTGGACTTATGCCAATGTGTTACGTGTTTTAAGATAATATATGCTAATGTAGTTGTTTTTCTAAACAAAACCCTCAATATTCAACTTTAATTGAAGTGTTGGCACTTTGCAATAAATAAGTGAGTTTGGGGTTGCAGTTTGGGGAATTATCTCTAAAAGGTTCACCATCCCTGCACTAAAGTGTCAGAATCCCTGCTCTAAGCCATTGTTAGTACCAATATCTACTTAGGGAAAGGCATTCCAAATTAGGCAGTTTCACAGCTAATCAAATATTCATCTGAAAAAACGCCAAAAAATAAAACAACACGAAGGTAAGTTTTAATGTGTAATAGTTTTGCAGACAGAAGAGAGAGTTGTCGAAAAAGACAATAAGGTTCATCCAACAACAATGTGTCAACCATAGTGGAAGATAAGATTAAAACATAACTGAATAAATTGCATTGTTCACTGAATTTTAACAGAAGTTTCAGACTCTGGAGCAAGGTACACTCACCCATTAAGAACAGGAAGACAGATAAGTCCAGCATTGCTTCTTGTATCCTGGTATCTAATGTCCCTGTGATGAGCCCTCCTCTTTTGTGGCAGTTCTAGCTGTCACAAGGCCTCAGATCTCTGGTCTGTGTCTGCATTTTGTTCCTGATTTTAGAAATTACTTCTGCTCCTTTCCTTTTCTATGCCAGGGTCCCAGGTTTGGCCTCTTAGCTCCATCTAGCCATATTGGACATACTTGCTAAGCACTTTGAGATTTTACCTGATAAAATGTCCTACTGGTCCTTGTATTCCTCCATTATCTGTCTGAATTCGTTGAGTTCCTGTGCTATTCTGCAACACTGCAACAGGGACCCAAAACATACCCTGAACTATAAAATATGGGTTGATTCATAAAAGTGTGTAAATTACCTGAACCATTGTCCAGCAGATCCAAAACTGTTGTGTGTCCATTGCTTGATTCGATGACAGCAGTCACACTGGCTCCAAGAATGGGCACATACCCTTGCTGAACTTCTGCATAAACAATCATGGGGCTCGGGAAGGTGTTTGTGTCTTTATTCATTTTAGCACTCACTGTGATTGGAGGCACGGCAGAATTTGCTGCCCGAGAAGTCACTGTAATAGTGAGTGTTTCTGAGTCTGCTTTGGCTTGAAGATTGTAAATCCATGTGCCCACCTGAAATGTTCAATGAAAATATAAGTATTCATAGTCAAATTATATCCTGTGATCTGATTATGCAATTCTAATATACACCATAGATACTTGGAGAAGAATAAACAGATGTTGATGGTTTTGCGATTTTGTAAAGTTTCCAACTGAGACAGTTAAGCAGTGCACCCCAACTAGTGACTGCATTGTAACATCTGAACTCAAAAAATATATTTTCAAAGTTTGTCTTGGTTTTGGTCTTTTAGTTTGACTTCAAGGAAAATCTGCACATCAAGTAGCCTAGACTCTTTCTATACCTCTTCACAGAATTATTCTTTGATTACCTTGTTTTCTTTCCTCTGGTACATGAGATTTTTCTCATTTTCATTATGGTTCTTACTTACAGAATTCACAATATGGAAAGTACATAGTATTTTGTATTCATTCGACATTTTGTAAAATCACTGATATTTACAATTATGACATTAAACATTTTCAACTTTCAAAATGCAGAGCAAGTCTATAAGGTGATTACTCACCTTTGCATCTCCTGGTATGCTGAGATAGGCCATTCGGGAAACAGTGTCCTGAGTGAAATTTGCTGTGAGTGTTCCATTAGGATCCCAGAGAGAAATGCTGGGAGGCTGTTTGGTCCAGGTGACAAGAAAGAAAGTGTCCTTTCCCACAGTGCTGTCAACTGTCACAGTGTCGTTCATCCAGGCACTAGTGTTCAGATTTAATCCCTTACTTTCAAGCTGTTTAAATATATTTAAAAAAGAATGAATACAGATAAGACCAATTATATGCTAATGAATTTTATTATTCTTTTTCGTTTTAATGATAATTCTCAATTTATGTTCTGAAAGCAAGCTTGTATATGGCGGGCCATCTTAGCCTGTTCCAAAAGCAGGTTGGGATGCAACAACTAGGCTCCAAGAGAAGACTCTATACAATCAAAGCCAGGAATATGGTTTTCGTTAATAGAATAGGATTCTTTCAATTTTTCCACAGTTCATAGGGAAATATTGACTATAATTTTTATATTAATGGAGGTTACAGCAACCAAGAAAGATTAGTTGGAGGGCGTGTGTGTGCATGTGTGTGTATAAGTTACCCTCAGTTTAAATTCATGATGATTCATGATATTTACAGGGAACTAGAATGTTTGAGTAGTGTAATGATTTATATCTACCCTGTGCCTCAAATGCATATAGGTGGGTATATTGGGAGGTGGATAGATTATGGGTGTGTGATACTCTTCTCTGGATTATTCCACTGATGAGTTTCTAGCTAAATGTGCTATTGGGACCAGATTGGGCCAGTGGGTTTGTGGCCATAAGCCGTGCCAGCTGACTATGAACTGAAACCTTCACAAACTGTGACCTAAAACAAACTTTTGCTCCTGAGAATTTTGGGTGTTAAGAATTGTGTCTGAGTAGTAAGAGCTAAGACACATTGTGGGGTTACTACTATAACTCTGCCTGTGGAACTGACATGCAGGAGCCATTTGAAAGGTGTGGAGATGCTGGCTGAAAAGGAGCCCTATAATGCTGTGAGCCAGCTTGATGGGAGATTCTGTTCAGAGCTGCGAGGACCAACTTGGTGACAGACATACACGGGAAAGATCAAGTTCAGGAGGTTTCACTGGGGAATGGGACCGCATTGGCATTTGGACTCCAGGCCATGTTATGCTTTGGTGGGAATTTTGTTTTGAGTAGGAGATCTGGGAGGACAGGCAGCACACTCTTGAGAAAGAATTTTGTGAACCCATGAGTGTGAAGCTGAAAGGTGAACAGAGATCTCAGAAAATTGGAGAAATCAGCAATGTGACACATTTGAGGAAAACCAACAAGAGTGAGAAAATTGGCCCCAGATAGAAACAGTGAATTATAACCAACAGAAATGCCACAGGGATGGAGTCAGCTAAGCCCTTGGAGTTCGTATCTCACCAATATTTTCCTAGTGCTGGACATGGAACTACAGGATGGAATGCTGGCCCTTCTGAGTTTCAAGCTTGCTTTGGTGCTGTTCCTACCTTTTCTAATGTGAATGTGACTTTGTATCTTGTAAATTCTTTCTTTTAGTTATTCAGGGACTCGCAGCTAAGAGTTTGCCTAAATCTCTGAAAAGACTTTGGATTGGGAATTTCAGCCACGACTGTCAAGATTTTGGCATTGCTTAGAGATGGACTAAATGAATTTTGTATAAAGAGACAAGTCCTGAGATGACCAGACATGCAAAGTAATAGTTTGTATCTAGAAGTTCCACAAAAGCCTCCTGTGATCATAGGTCAGGCTTTGTGAAGGTGATTAGATCACGAGGTGTGATATTCATCAGTGAATTATACCACTGATCAGTTTATAATAAAAGTGGTGTTGGGAAGAAATGGGTCACTGGGGTGTGGATCGAATACTGTATTTCCTTCCTATCTCTCTGTACCACCTGCTGCTATGCTATGAGCTGTTTCTCCTCTGCCACGCTATCCCACTTTGAAGTAAGCCGACTATGAAATGAAAGTTCTATAAACTGTTACCAAAATAAACCTTTCCTCTTTAAAGCTCTAAATGTATTCTGTGTCCATGACAAAAAAGTAGCTAAGTCAAATAAGACACAATAAGTGCCTCAGATATAAAATTAGTTCCAGTAAATAATTAAGACAAACTTTCATGGATATTTTCCTGATGTGGAATCTTGAAATAATATTTCACAAAGGATAGAGAGTCAGGAACTGGGCCATACACATATTCCAGAAAAGGTCAAACAGATGTGTGGAGGATGGCATTCTAAGAAGAATGAAAAGAAAAATGGGACCTTCTCTGAGAGGAGATTTAAAGAAGTTATTCTTTAGCACTTAGTGCTTGGCAGTACTTAGTAGAGGAAAGCCAACTGTTTTATTGAATTGCCTTAGTGTTTGAATGACAAAGATTGTATATGCTTCCCACATAGAGCATGATTTGGCTAAATAAAAATCTACTTTCAATCTAATATCCTATATTCTCTTTTTCTACTATTAAATGTCTACTTTAAATATGCTACTTGGAGTTACCACTACCCATTCAAAATTATTAAAGTAAAAACTGAGTTGAAAGCAACATCCTCAAAATCAGCTTTTCCAAAAACCCTACTTCTTCCTGCTGGTCAGTTTCACACAGTAATATCGTCATTCTTTTCATACTGGGTTGAAAAATCTCAGAAATGTCCCTCACGTTTGATGATTTTTTCTGCTATTCACTGCCAGGCTAGATGTCAGATGAAGTTTTAAACTTTTACGGGATAAATCTACAGATCAGATCTCCAAAGTAGTCTGTATAAATGCAAAGTCCATTTCATGTAATTTCTGCTGTCTTTGTTGGAAAGTAGAGGAAAATGGGTTTGTTTCTTTTGGACAAAGTCTGGTATTCGTGGGAAATGGATATTATTATTAGACTTTAATGCTACTCTTTAACTAAATTTTAAGAAAAATGAAAAAAATCTATATTTTGACATAGTTTACTCTTATTTCAGCACTAAATTGATTTTTCTTAATGAAATTAAGGATTCACATCTACTTCAGATTTTAATTTTAATTAAAATTTCTCTTTGAAAAAGTTATAGAAGCAACACATTATTTTTCGTGTCTATGGTAAATGCAAACACAAACCTACCGCTGTGGGAGCTCTCACCTGAATGGACTTCTGGCTGAGACCCACATTTTCTGATGTGAGGGCAGCAAAAGCATCAATGAGTCCATTGTTCTCAGCGTTATCTGAAGCATAATAGTGATTTCCTCCTAAAATGTAAAAGCGCAAGCAAGGTTAATTTCTAGAAAATAAGTGCTTACACATTTAGTGATTAATAAGGCAAAAGTGTAATGAAAGTCACAGTTTCCACATGTACTATTAAAGCAGACCAGTGTCAGATAGCTGTAAGATTAATTCTGAAATGCTAATTTAAAATAAGATAACCTGGAAGGATAAGATACCATCATATCTCAGCATCAAATGTCAGCTAGATTAAATACATCAAACGATCAGACAATGAAAGTATATGGTTACAATTCTGAGTATTTAAGTTCCCAGTTTTTACACAGTAGTGTAGAGAATTGTTCACTTTATTTAAGGTACAGTTCTAATGAAGTTGGTGCTTAGATTTGGCAGGCTAATTACATCAGACACAAAACATTAGTGCTAATCTATATTCTTAAGAAGAAGTGTTGTCTGGTGATGTGATTTAATTAGCAGTTTTCTTTTCTTTCCATACAATTTGGCACCAAGTATCCTGAGGACAGAGATTGTGTCTGGGTTGACTCTGGTCTCCTGTCCCTGGCACAGTATTCTCAGAGCAGGAGTTCAAGAGAAGGTGCACAGCTGTCAACCCAGAGATTAACGCCTTCTTACACAAAGCCTAAAATGTATAAAAATATTTTAACCTGTTTGGTTGCTCATCTGTGTCACTGCTGGATCTGCAGATGGTCCCAGAGCGATTAAATGAATTATGACCCCGCTTTCTGTCACTTCATTAACACAGTTCTTTGCTGTGTTGTCTTCCCCATCAGTCAGCAGCACTATTTCAGACCCATCCAATTGGGGGTCTACCTTTCTAATCACCTGCAAACATTTTTCAGGCACAGTTAGCACTGTAGGTCACACAGATCAATGAGCAAACAGACAAATACAGAGAACAGAAAGAAAAAAACACGTAGAGTAGAAGAAAGCACCGACTGACTTGTTATAAAGCACTGACTTGTTATAAAGTCAGAATCTAGAATCAACATCTGTGTTATCTTTTTTTCCTGTGTTTGTACTGAAGATTGAATCAGTGCTATTGCACTAAACTATATCCCCAGCCCATTTTACCCTTTAATTTGGGACAGTGTTTCTCTAAATCATCTCATTTTGGCTCACACGTATGCCCGTCTCACTTGACCTCCTAGAGTGCTGGGATTACAGGCAGACACTGACACATCTAGTTGTCCTAGGGAATCTGAGCTATAAATGTTTCCTGCTCTGCTGATGTAGGGAATATTTATCCAAATGAACATTGGCTTGAGCAGGGCTTTGGGAAGTGCTGCTTGCATTAAACAAGGGCTTCATCTCAGCCAAGGAAGTTTAGACATCCAAAATATATCCAAGACATGCAGCTATAAGTACTTTTTTTTTTTACTTTCTTTAACTTGATTATCCTTTTAGAAGCCTTCAGTATATAAAGTCTGTGGTCTATATAGCTTGATTCATTAATAATTCACCTTAACATAAAATGTCATTGATTCCAAATTAGAAAATTCCTAGCATGCTTTTAAGTGAAAGATAAGTTTAGTTCTAAACGTGGTGAGGTTTGAGATTTATTGGATAACTATTAATTTACTTTTAATAGAGGCTAACAGAGTAAGCATGTTAGTGTTGTCTAAAGATCAAGTGAGCAGTTTCTTGAGTTCTATTTGTAGTTTCAATCCTTTACTTATAATAGCCCTAGAATTTGAAAGTCGGAGTTTTGAATCTAGCTGCCCATAGAGAATAGAAAAACAATTTAGCTTAAAATTGCACTTATATTTTATTTTGTCTGGTAGTTTTTAACTGGCAATGGCTTCCTTGAGCACCATTTTGAGAATCTGATTCTACACTAAAAGAGAAAAAAATGTCACATGACCAGCAAATTTCTTTGACTTGGAGAAGAGGTACATGTAGAATTGTGAAAAAGAGGTTGGGACATAGAGACCTCTAACAAAGCTGGAACAGAGAAAAAATTTACTACTCACTTTAGAAATTTTGCATGCCATGAGACAAAGTGTTATATGTATGAAAAATACATTTTGATATGCATTGAACCAAACTGAAATATACATAAATGCTTTTAAACATTTATGGCATTAACAGAGCATGTCCCTCACACTTCTGCTATAAATCTGAGTACAACATGAAAGCCTGGGATGAAGATGAGCTCCCTAACTTCACCTCTCACTTTCTTGTGAGAGTTTATTCACTCAGCACTTACAGTGTGTCAGTCACTGTGTTGGGAACGGCATGGTTCCCCCATTCCCAGGAAGAATTGAACTCAACTTAATATTTCCCAAGGTTTGTGTGAGAGACTGCGTGACAGATGAGCAACAAAGACACAGCTGTGTAAGAAGTGTGTAATTCTAGATAAATTTAAATAATTATAGTGCTATCATTTTCTTAACATGATAATTTTCACCTCAAATGCTTTTGCAATCCCACTGCAGATGGAAGTTCCTCCGTTAGCATATGTAGGCAAGCTCTTCACTAGGGTGTCTCTTTCAGTATTGCTTCTTACTTGTATTAACTCACTTTTAATGCTTGCAGTACTGTCAAAGTGAACCATTCCTACCCAGGATCCATTTTCCACAGTCTGCATCAAGAACAATTTTGCTGCTTGATTCATTCGAGTGAGGCGGCTACCAGCCTGAATGAAAAGCGAAAGAAAACAACCAAGTAGTTTTCAACTGGAAGATAACAGCATCACACATAATGAGTATATACATGTACCAATAAGAATTTTTCAATAATAACTGCTATGACTGGTAAAAATTGTCCTCTCTTTTCAACTGATAATGTAGAAAAATATGACTGTGCATTATGGGACATGCACCATTTAGTAAGGAGTTAATAAACTAGAGATGATTACCGGCTGCTAAATACTGCAGTTAGAGATTGAAGGAAGATGGAGATTGAGTTAAAAATGTGCATGATGATTCACAAGGTGGAGATGCTTTAGTGACACTGTTAGCCTATATGCCAGCTATCTCAGATGAAGTCACCAATGTTCACCACGAATCAAGAATATTTTAGAGTTCATCAGAGTTGAACTTGCTTCATTCACTGAGGTCTACTTTACCCCAAGTGGAAAACTTGCCTGAGCTGAGGCTAAATTCTGAGAACCCCATTCCCTACCCTGGCCTTTGTCTTCTCCTCTTAATTCTTCCCCACAATTTATTCACCAGTGATTTGATTGGAATTGCACTTCTGTAACCTGTAAAGATTCACACCACCAACCTCACCAATCTCTGAGTGGCAGAAAACCTGAAAGAATTTCTTCTAAAATCATATATGAGAAAAGAATACTTATTCTCATTCTCCTATCCAATATATACATGAAATTTTATGCAGAGTACTAGACAAGAGAAAAAAATAAAAGGAATTCAAATAAGATAGGGAAAAACCATATTATTGCTATTTGTAGATGGCATGATCTATATTCAGAAGTTCCTAATGACTTCACTGATGGTTTTTCAGATCGGCTAAATACATTCAACAATAGTATGGGGTAAAAAAAACACAAAAAATTAATGGCTTTTCTACATACCCATCAAAATAACTGAGAAAGAACTCAGGAACACTATTCTATTCCATAACTTCCAACATATTTACCTAGGAATTAACCTAACCAAGGAATTGGAAGTATTTCACCATGAAAAGTGAAAGAAGACAAGAAATGAGGAAGAGAGACATTAGCAGTTGGAAAGACCTTCCATGTTTATGAATTCACAGAATTCATATTGCTGAAATGGCCACATCACCAATAGTGAGGTATACATTTAATGTAATCTCCATCAAAATACCAATGTCATTCTTCACAGAACTAGAATAAACAGTCCTAAATTCATACGAAAACACCAAAAAGAAAGAATAGCCAATGCCATGGTCAGGAAAAAGAATAAGGCTGGAGTCATTACGATACCTAATTTCAAATTATATTACGAAGATATATTAAAAAACACTGTGCTTCTGGCACAAAGACAGACAGGTGGACAATAGAATAGAAAACAGGACTCAGAAACATGTTCATATGACTGCCACCTGGGTTTGCCAAAGGAGCCAAAAAATACATTTGATAAAAGGCAGCTCCTTCAACACATGGTGCCCAGAAAATTGCATATTCCTGTGTAGAATTTTAAATTATGTCATTATCTCTACCTGGTTTGAAAATCAATTTCTAGTGGATCAAAGACCTATGTACGTCTTGCAACTTTGAAACACTTAGAGGAAACATACTGGAAATACTTGAAGCCATAATTACAGGAAAGAACTTTCCAAATTGGACTCCAATAGCACAAGAAACAGCAGCAAGAATGCACAAATGGGATTATGTCAAATTAAAGATTCTGCACATCAAGGGAATCAATCAACAGCATAAAACAGTCTACAGTATGGCACAGCTACTCTGCTGACCGAGCATTAATGTTTAGCATAGATAAGTTACTCTAAAAGCCTAATACCAAAAATCTAAGTAGCCCAATCCATAAATGGGCAAGGGAACTGAAGAGATGCTTACTTCTCAAAAGAAGAAATATAACTGGATGATAAGCACATAAAGAGATGTTCAGGTCTTTAGGTAAATGCACAGCAATCTACACGAAAATTTTAGCTCAGCTCAGTGATTGTTACATTTGATATTATTGTGTGTGCAGATAAGGTCAATTATTTTGAAGAAATTATGGTAGCCACTGTTAATACCCTGTTTCCTTGTTGTGAAGACCTGTGTTGTTTGCATTGCTTTGTTCTGATTTGCTTTATTCTGTTCTGATCTTTTTTTAAATCTCTTTAAAATAATAAAAGAATAAACAACAAACCAATGCATGTAAGGATGGAGTAGGGAAAGGAATCTTTTTACACTCTGGTGTGGAATGTGAATTTATGTCTTCACTATGAAATTAAGTATGGAATTTCTTTTAAAAACTAAAAGTAGAACTACTATTCCATATAACTATACCACTCCTGGTTAGATACCAGAAGGCATTAAAGTCAGCATACCACAGTGATACCTAAATACTCATATTTTTGCAGCATAATGTGTAACACTCATGATACGGAACCTGGCTAAGTGACTAAAATAAATGAATAGATGAGAAAGTATGGTATATAAACATAGTGGACTGAACTCAAGCATGAAGAAGAATGAAATTATGTCATTTACAGAAAATACATGAAACTAGATGGCTGCATTGGATATGATTGAAATACGTCATTTGCATGTATAAAAATATCACACTGAAAGTTTCATAAAATTGTCAGGAATGGGTTATTCTAAAAATAATTTAGACCCCTTTTTGAGGTGATACTACAATGTGTACAACTCCTCATATATTTGTCTTCTCTAGTTCCTCATCACTCCACTCCTCTGTGCCACCGCCTCACAACCAGTACCCCAATTTCCTTCTAATCTCCTTGATCCCAATCACTGTGAAGAACTCCTACCTGCCTGTGTTTGCGGTCTCTCCACTACTGGGCTTTGTCTTTCACACGGATCTGCTATCACCCTGCTCATCTTCTCCCTATCAGAACTCTCTCATCCCAGTGACTTTTCCTGGATCACTTGTAGGTGACAGAATCAGTACTTCACGACGGTCTTTGAAATCCTGTGTCACTGTGGCCCATTTCATTAATCTCTATCATTCTCTGCCCTTTTTTTATACTACATTTCTCCCATAATCTGCAATTATTTCTGATCTCAGCATGATTTCTTCAGCCCCAAATGCACCATCTTCCTGGGTTCCTAATCAAAATTCAGGCTATTGATATAATTCAGATGTACATAATGATTGTACTCATCACGGAAGTTTATACTTGCACATATCTTATTTCTTTTTTTCTCCATTTCCTCTCCTTTCTCTGAAGTCCCTCTCTGCCTCCTTTTTTACGTAGGATTTTTTTCCATTTTATTCTACTTATCTAACATTTTTATTTTCCCTTCCAACCACTCCCTGAATTCTCTTTCCTTTTCAACAATTACTTACCTTATCACAACATCTATACTACATTTTGCTTCTTATTTACACTTTCATTTTCTCACATCAGAGATACAAAGAAATATTACATGAGTATGTTCAATTTATTTCACTTAAGACACAACAAAAGAAATCTCCAACACATTGAAGAGGCAGTTCATATACTGGGAAAAAAAAATGTTAGCCAGTTGTTTTTCAGACAAAGAATTTATATTTAGAGCACACAAAGAACTGAAAAAAACCAGACTCCCCCAAATATAAAGATCCAATTAAAAAATGGGCATGTTAAATGAATAGATACTTCTCAGATGAAATAGTAGAAACAGAAAAGAAATACTAAAAAATGTTCAAAATCAATGATCATCTGACAGATGCAAATTAAACAATGCTGAGATTCCATCTCATTCCAGAAAGAATGGCTATCATCAAGAAATCAACCAATAACAAACACTGGAGGGGGCATGGGAAAAAAGCAGCCCTTTTCCATGGTGAGTGGGAGTGTAGACTGGTGCAACCAACGTGGAAATCAGTGTGGAGATTCTTTAAAAAACTGAGTAGAGATCCCATTGGACCCAGTTATTCCTCCTCTAGGTGTCTTCCCAATAGAATTTAATACATCATACCACAGTAATATATGCACACCCATGTTTATAAGCAGCACAGTTTATATTAGCTCAGTCATGGAAACAACCCAAATGTCCATGGTTAATGAGCTATGATTCCTTTATACAATGGAGCACTACTCAACCATAAAAAAGGAAAAACTTGAGACATTTATAGGTAAATGGATGGACTTTGAGAATGTTTTCTTTAATATTCTTTATGGTGATTTTGTTAGTTACTTTGAGTATGAAGAAGTCACTCATACAGATGGTACAAATAAGATTATGCTATGTGAGGTACACTGCTGATTGATCTTTTTAAAATCAGGAATAGTGCTTAGCAGCTATTACTCCTCAAGATTTTCAAACATTTTCAATAAAAGGGCCTTAGCTTAATAAAATTTGATTTTCAATCCCCAGCTCTGATCTTTGAAACAAAGCTTGACTATGAGCTCTCTGCATTAAACCATCTATCTTCTTGAGAAAACAATGGAGACAGCTGGGTAAGATCTTTTTAACTCTGCTGATGTCTTTGTTTCTTAACTGCAAGTGTTCTTTGCAGTATCTGGAATCATGATTCCAAGAAATGATGGCACTTTATCTTAGTAGTTTGGGACAATCCAGAGACAGGTAAAGTACAGCATTTTCCAGTCAATTATCTCCATTTCTACTCCCAGAAAAAATGGGCCCAACTTACACTCATGCTTCCTGACTTATCGAGAACGAGGCACACAATCCTGTCTCTGATGCGCAGCAGTGAGAAGGTAGGTGGAGGAGGTGGTGTCTCCATCGCTGTGGTGTTTGTAAAGTCCTCAGACTCTCTGATGACCTCCCAGGTACTTCTGTAATTGCACTTTAGATTTTGTAGACTTGGAGCTTCTTGGTTATGGTTTTTTTCATTGCAGAATTCAACAACCTAGAAAGTTAGAAATAGAAAAGTAAATTTTAGTATACCATACACTAAAATACTTAATTGTAAACCAGAAAACTTAAACTATGTCCTGCAAATATGCTTTAATTGAATGAAATATAATTAATGGGAATCAGTGTTATACTAAAGGAAACATAGCAAAATGGTAATAGTAGGCAACATTAGTCAAGTGCCTACAATGTCTCAGACAGTGACTGAAGAATTTTATATTAATAGATTTAATGTTCCTGTGATCCAGATACAAATTTTCAAATCAGTCACGTTGGAGAAGAGGGTGTAACACTATGAGCACAATATATAACTAGCATGTGCAAGACTGTGGTTTCAGTCACCAGCACCACAATAAAAGAAAATCAATTCAATAAAATCAGATGTGGCCTTTGATTATAAATTGCAGGAGCAAAGATTGACACACTTACAGAATCAATACTCTGCATAAACATTATGGAAGCCTTTTCTGTTTGAACTTTATCTGGAAAGAACTGACAATCTTTTTCATACAATTTTGTGGTAGGATTTATTTTGCAACTTCTAGTTGAACAGCTACCTCCTTGACACTTATGGACGCTGTTTCTCCCGGAGATACCTGCAGAACACCTGAAAATACGTGGCAGTTATTCTTTGAGGCAACTTAGTAATATTTTTAAAAATCTTAAGTGGTTCTATTCTTGATGATGTTTATAGCAAGAAGTTTCATTTGTGTGTTCCATTTGTTTCCTATACACATAACGAATTTTAAGAGTTCCAGTAAAAGCAATTTTTTATAGTACAAGAGCGTGATTTAGAAACATTTAAATGGCATACATGACAGAGTTCTCAGAAGTAATGGAACCTGCCAGGCCCTTGTTTACATCTGTCTCCTGCTGGCCTTATGTTGGTGAATGCACTGCAGGCAGCTTGATGTGGGAACTTGTGAAAACATTTTCTCTAGGTACCACATTATCTTGTTCTCTGTAGGCTTCTCCAAATGTGATGAAGTGGAGCTACAAGTGTTTTGGTTATTCAAGGACTTTCTTATCTAAAATGTGGCTAGAAGCAGATTGTGAGATGCTGTCACAAGGGACAGTAGAATAAAGAATGGTGGAGGCATTATAAATGTGCTTCCATGAAATTGGCAACAGATTGTAATGTCTATAGCATAGAAGCAGTGATGTGACCGTGTGTCCCTCTTTCCCATAGCGTTTCATTTGAAAGTGAGAAAGTGATGACTAGATTTCCTTCAGTCATTTATGGAGTCTCCTAAACATGTCTATGCTTCTATTCCCCCAAACTTGTTAACATCATAGTCCAATCTATATGAACACTCATGATGAGTGTAGGACAGAAAAAGCTATTTGGAGGGACATGACATAAACAAATAGAATCTATGAGATATATTTCTAAAAATCGTGCAACAGATTGAGAAAGAGTCTGTATTGAAATTGTGTATGTTTCAATTTGCACATTATTGACAATTCCTTCACACTGATAGGACAGTACATCCTGAGGTTGATGGCACCTGATTTTAAGTGGATTCTCCAACCCTTTTGCTCTATCTCAGAATCAACAAGAAAAACACTTCATTATTAATGGTACTGCTTGTCATTTTAAAATGGATTTCATAGAACTGCAAGGTGTTCCTAGTCAGTTCCTTGAAACTTCTTAACCACTCAGCAGTGCTTAATTATTTTTTGTTCGTTTTTGCTGTAACATGAACAACTTTAATCTTCTCACAGTAGATAGTATGTCCATCCACATGGTGTCTACATTCAGTCAAAGTGATTTCTGTCAGCTATGTGTCATATGTGAAATATGTCAAATTGTCAACAAATGCTTCCCACTGCAGTTATGTATATTTTAAATGGAAAACTAGCTGCATTAAGATAAACTTTCTAGAAAAATGAGAGCAATTTTGTGATATTGCATCTATCCTCTGCTTTGGGGCACAGAGAAATGATTATCATCTATAATAAATCAGTGTAAAGAGAATAAAATCAATTAAAAGTCTGAGGTTATATAAGAAAATTTAAGCAGTTATACCTTGTGGCTTCAATTTTCTTTGACTTGGCGCTGTAGTAAGGCTGATCTTCATTGTACTCATCAAACACTCCCCAGCGGAGATGGGCCCACTCATGGACGAGCAGTCTCCCTGTGGGAAAACATTTCAAACATGTAACAAAATTCAAGTGACAAGTTTCTTATCTGTAAAATTTGAAGATTATCTTTCAGTTACAAAAGGATTTGCATTTAGGTTTTCCATCACCCCTGATATTTATATATCTGTTTATAAAAGAACCTATCACATTAAATAACATATTTTTACCACTTATATTATGTTTTTACTCCAGGGGAACATAGTGAATCAGTGAGTCATGTGTGGAATATAACCTATGAACAGAATGAACTAGGATTCCTCCTTCTATTCTAGAAGATAGAAAGGTCTTAGACATTACAATGGTTTATAGATCTCCAAACAAGAACCCTATCAGTAACATAATTGGATACACACTGATTCTATTGTTTTAAGATGGATGGACCTAGGAAAAATTTTCTAAAAATGTTCCTGACAAGGTTGGGAATGAAGCAAAAATTCAGAAACATTCTTGCAGAAAATATAGGCTTTTAGGAATTTAAAAATGAAGTGATTCATATGTAGTATATGTAATATTATTTATATAAAACAGTTTTTTCAATAGTAAGGGCACTATGCAGTATTAAGAAATATAAAGCTTTTTATGATATGGAGTAGTCTTTAATTTGCAGATGTTTTCAGAGCACGAGTTAGGGTAAAACATCTTCAACAAGAATTTCCAGAGGATGGAAGAATAAAAGTGAATCCACAGCTTGAGATATAGAAAAATAAACAGAACTTTTGTTTTAGAAAAGTGAGGGAAAATTTCAGAGGAAATGGAAATAAGAGACTGAAAATAGTCAGTTCTGCCACGTGTGTGCTTCCCTTCCTCAAATAACCTCATATGAGACCTGAAAGTAGAACAGAAGTGTCTGAACAGGGGCGAAACATGAGGGTCACCTCTAAGCTCTTCCTTCTCTGAGTGCGGCCCAGTGCAGGGACAGGGGCATCCCCTGGAAGCTGTTGGAAACAGTCTCAAGCCCACCCGAAAGCCACTGCTTGAGAGTCTGTATTGTAACTGGTTCCCTAAGTTACTCCGTTACACACTAGTCATCAAAATTAACGGTTTACTTTTTGGTAAACAAAGTCATATTAGTGACAGTGAGACAGTAACCTTCATCATAGAAGGTAAAGGTGGCTACTGAAACAGGGATTCAGCTGCTTTAAAGACAATGTGGAATTCCCTGCCCCTGCTGCTCCCTTCTTAAAGGGATCCTCTCTCAGACATGCTTCTCCCCCACCTGCCTTGCCCCGTGCTCACCTGAAAAGCCGCCCCTCTGACTTAGAATTCCAGAACCATCTACATTGATTTCTCATTTCTGGTTCCTGTGATCTTAGTGGTATTCGTGTGTGTGTGTGTGTGTGTGTGTGTGTGTGTGTGTGTGCGCGCGCACGCGCGCGCACTCTTCACAACTGTGGCAGTCTCTAACCACAGAGGTGCTGCTTGACTATTCCACATAATCTTTCTAGGGACCTATTCTTGTTATTATAATTATTATTACATTGCACACATTTTGAGGGCTTTCTTCCTCATCCTATTTTCCCAACGACTTATGCTTTTTAGGTGATGGTTTGCAAATGTGAGTACGTGAATAAAGAAGTATCTAAGAGGAAGGGCAAGACATGACAGCAATGGAAGATGGTAGAAAAGTGAGGAAAGGTCATGAGTGCCAACAGGGGCACTGGCCTTAAAACTTGGGACAGTCTTCCTCATCTACCACAGCTGGAGGCGGGAGATAGAGACTGGCCGAGTCATTCAGTGCAAAGCATGAGAGTTGTGGGGGAATTAAGTTATTTGTACTATTTGCTGAACATGCTAAGTAGAAAGAAAGAACAGTTGGGAGAATGCAAAGGGTTAGAGGGGCTGCAGAGAACAAAACTGAGGATGAGACTTAGGTGAGATGCAACACTGGGTTGGGAGGGGCTATGCAGCTTTCAAGGGTGGCATGTGGAACCAATCTGGGTAATACTTAAAGGGCAGGATGAATTTTGTCAGACACAAGAGAATGAGTGAATGCTGACTTTACCGAGCATAAGGAGGAGAGAGATGAATCTGAGATTTGGGGGATCATAAAATTTTTTACTGAATAATGACATATGAAATGGCTATCCTTATCAATGATTTACCATTTGAAAGTAATATGCTTTCACTGATAAAAATGGCCTTAACATATGGATCAAAGTAGATGACATTGAATTACATGATTTAGTAAACTAGGTCCTAATAATAATCAGAGATAATTTCTTCTGCCAGAAACAAAAATTTATATAACTGTATTATCAACTAACCCAGTTTATGAATGTTTTATCTTGATCAATAACTGGTATCATGGCAGTTTCCAGTTTACTACACACTTGAAAACTTTTGAACTCATATATTCATAGTTACTATTCAGTTGTGGTGAACTGGAAAATTAAATCTACAAAGTAATGCCTTGAGAAAACATTTAGTATTCCTGCTCTATGAAAATTTCTAAAGACCTTATTATTCATTTCATGAAGTATATGTGGTGGATTGACAACTGGTGGACCATTTGTAACACCCAGCTGAACTGAATCAATGTGGTGCTGGGTGTGGATGGCGCATCTGAGGATTCTTGCCAACAACATAAAAAGGAGATCAAGTAAAGAAATAATGGTGTTGTTGGTTCTCCTGTTATCACTGGTTCTCCTAGAGGAGATTGTTGAGCTTCTTTCCTGATATGAACTTGGCTGTTCTCATTGTCAGAGGAACATGGGACCTTTTTGTTCCTGAGAATGCCTGTGGTTCACTTTGGGGGAGCTCTGGTCCTTTAGGCATAACTCCCTGGTTCCAGAAGACAAGACTGTGTACTGTTCAATCTCCTGGAGAAGGCTGTCACACTGGCTTCCTGATATGAACTCAGCTGTTAGAGGAACTTGCGTGCTGGCTGTTGCTGCATTGAGTTTGGCACTTTTCAGGGGAGATCTGGTCCTTACTTTGAACATGACTTCTTGGCTCCAGTGCAGAACTACTGCAGCCTACTGGCAGAGATCCTTTATCCCACTGGCACAGACTTTTAGGCTTCCACTATTGACCTTTGAGCCCTCCCAGTGCAGATCCATGAGATCAATTTGCATGAGACCCTTTCATTGGCTCTAGGTCTTCAGCTGGACTCAGGCAGGATATTGCCAGGGAATCTAGGCCCTGGGCTGTATTGCTTGTCTTTAGTTTGTGGAAAGATTTCCTGCACTTTGTTTTGGTATGGGTTCTTTGGGTGACTATTATAAAATAATTCTATAAATTATGTATCCTATATTAAATTGTTTTCCTTGCAAACCCTGACTATCATAGTATATTTACATAGATTATCTACTTCAAAAAATTGCAAAATGTAAAAACTCCTCAATTCATATTTGATTGGGAATGAGCTTTGATATAGAAGATCACTTCTTTAGTCCCCACAAAACTGATATGCAGAAGAGATATGATTATAACCTGGGGTCTCTGTATCCAAAGTCTTCTCACTTAATCTGAGTCAGACCTGCTTGATAAAAATTAGACATTTGACAAAATTTCCTACCTGATGGTCCATATTCATTTTCTTTTTTGCCCAGTACAAAGTCAGGGGTGAAATGAATGTATTCTGCTTTTTCTCCACATTCTGTGAACTGCCTGGTATAAGGTTCATCTCTGTTGGGGAGGGTCGGTGGTGCCACTATCACATCAGCCTGAGGGTGTTGGAAAAGGTTGTTAAACATTGAGCGCAGAAATGAAAATGTATAGTCAGAATGAATCTGAAACAAACCTTGAAAAACTTGGGAGCATCAGAAAATTTCCCTTTTTGCTAGAGAAGATTTTGGCACTTACGTGTTTGTAGCTCTCATGTTTTGGCCTCTTGTATTCAGGATTTGCATCCCAAGTCTCAGGAATCAATATAGATACAGTTTTGAAAAAAAATCTTTTTTCTGTGGCTTCAAAGAGGTAAGTAGATGCTGTGGACACCATGTCCTGTTATCAAAGGGAAAAAGTATGTGAAAACAACCAAGTGAGAGTGGAATAAGAGAGGAGTGGTTCTTTTCGGGAATTTTCTGTTTCATTTTTAATTCAAAAGCAACTGATAATGAGCAGTTTGTCCACTGTTCAAGCTCAGTCCTGAGCTACTACTTCATCCTGCATTCTGAATGGCTTATCAATCTTATTACCCCTTACTTCTAAAAGCAACAGACTATGCCTGGTTTTTGGAGAAGCTGATTAATACAAACACATATATGAACTGTGGAGTCATTTCCTTGCTTCCCAGGGTGCTGTTAGCACTTTCCGGGTAACAAATCTTACTCGATTTTTGTATTGCTCTGAAATTCAGTTTCTTTATGTCTCCATGAATTATTGCTGCATTATTTGATTTTATGTTTGGCATAAAGAAAGAATGTGGTCTGCACATCAGTAGTCCTAACACTGATATCATTTCTGATAGAAGAAATCTGGGTGAAGAAGAGTTTTAGCAGATGCAGGCTGAAGAAAACAGTCTGTGGGAAATAGTCTTAGGAGGGGTTTTTCTTTCCCTACTTCTCTTGCCAGAGAGGTACTTGGGCTGGGAAAATGATGAGGGCAGTTATGGAAAAGTGCTTAGAAGAAATACAACTTTGATCACAGAACTGTTGGTTTGTCTCCTAGCTAAAAATAATTTGAACCTAAATTTACCATGATGGGTAAGAAGTTGCCCCTCTTTAAAGCTTACTATTTGTTGGGAGAAATAGTTGGGTGAAGAGCAAAATAAAAGATATATAAAAAGAGTAGGGATCAGGATTGTTCTCAGAGGGGAAGGTGATTAAGACATGGAGGGATGATAGAGGAAGGGAAGAGATAAGGAATGAGAAAAAGGACTCAAGATGTTTCAAGGACCTGGTAAATGTAGTACTAACTCAACACAAGGATTGTAAACATTATGAACTGTAAACGTTTCCCCTGGCAAAAAGAGAAGAAAAAAATTCAAGAGCTGGGTGGAGAGGAGAGGTAGGGAAGAGAAAGAGGATGGAAAGGGGAATTAAAATGTATTATGTACACATATCAACTACACACAAGGAATGTGAATATCACATATTACACAAATGTATTAATAAACTTAAATTTAAAGAAAAATATTTGGATGAAGGGTATTTGCATCATTTGTTCTATGTTATCTAGCCCACTGAATAACTGACAGAATTCTAGGTGATGGGTTATGATATCATCTTTATCTTGTTGGAGCATCCCAGTCTACAGGGTAGACAGGCTCTTCCATGATGCTTGCTGCTTTAGTGTGATCTTACAATACAACAGTTCTTGGGAGATTCCTGGGCTTTGTTCCAGGTTCTCCTTAAGAAGAGTCCAATGTGTTGACTCACATTTACTGTACAATGTAGCAAACTGATTGAGTTCAGAACCATGAGTCAGAAGGCCAGAGTTCAGAGAATGGAAGGCCAAAAGGACTGGGAGGGAATTAGGAAAGGAGCTTTGGAGAGCTCCAAGTGGGAATGACTGATGTAAGACAGATGGAAGAATTCTGTTTCTTTCATAAGGTTACCTGTTCCTTTCTTTTCTATTCTTTTTTTCTCCTTCCTTCCTAATCCTCATTTATTTTCTGTATAATGTGGATAATGGTGTTTCTCAAAATTACTTGATGGTATAAATACAAGCACTTTGTAGAAAACTGAGTATCAAGAAACATGTGAAGTCTAGGCATGTCTGCAAAGAACAAAATTAAATTTCTCTCTGTAGCATTCAAAAGTTGACCATATTAAGAAGTTTTCTGCTTTTAGAAACAATTCTATCAAATATTGGTCTCTAGGCTTATAAATGTTTGTACCAAATTTTATCTCTGAACACTAATAGTCTATAATTCTGAATCAGCTATGTTATCTGCTCCTCAAGCCTATGTACTTTATTAAAAGTTATCTTTATTGCTCCTGGAATTCAAAAGGCATGAGTAATTGAGCACTTCCGTGCTACAACAGCATTTATGAAGAATTAATGAAGAATGGTAACCATGGAATCGCAAAGTCTCACCTGTAGCTTAGAAGATTTGAACAGTAAAGATTAGTACCCAGGAGAGGAGAAATTGAATATAAGGAATTGTTAGCTGTTGAAGTCAGGAAAAGGGAAAATAATCAAATACCTTAAGTAGCAATCTCTATACTATATGAAATACCACTGTTGGAAAAATATAGAAAATTAGAGTCATTGGATCTGTCTTGGAGATTTTCTCTCCCTCCATCTGTCCTTCCTGACATCTACGGACTCATATCATCTACATGTTGATGACTGTCAATTTTTAGAAGTTTTACAGTGAATTCAGATTCTCATTTTAATCTACATGAATAGGGTCTGAAATGCATATTTATTTAGAAATGGCTAAATTCAGATTTCTAAAATATACCAAATTTTCTCCACTTTCAGTCTTTTCTTTCCAGTTGATAATAGTGCCATCTTTCCAAGTGTTCAGGCAAAATTTGAAGTCTTCTCAACTCTTACATTTTCTTCTTTCCTGCCTTACCCCACGTACATCTAAACCATCAGGAAATCTTGTCTATGACACCCTCAAAATATATTCAGAGTCATAAACATCCCTGTCTTAGTTACCATCACTTCTCACCTGTCCAAACTCCCTGCCTGGTCCTTCTGCACTTCTGTGAGGCCACAGTGTTTATACAGGATGAATGAGCCACAAACCCTCCTCCATATCCCTCTGCCTCAGTCACAGTGACCCCCGAACACGCATGGGAGCATGAGAAGTGAGCCCGTCTTCCCAGTGGTCTCTCCAGGTCCAGCTCCTGCATTTTTCCTCCTCAGTCACCACTTTTTTTGTTGCCACATCAAGCAGCCTCTCACTTCCATGCTCTTCGGGTCCCGCAGGTTTCCAAGGGCCTCTTCCCCCACTCGTTGCGGCCCCTGGCCAGGCGTCACATGCTCAGCGAGGTCTTCCTGACTCCCCCACATACAGCAGTACCTCACGTCCTCCCCTGATTGCAGCCACAGCCCCCTCTGTATTCTCCTTTCCTGATCTTACATACTCTGCAGCAATCTCTTGCCAAACCACTTGGCACTTTATTCATCTTTTCAAATTATACTCCGTGAGGCTAAAGGCCTTTTTCTCTTTAATTCACTGTTCTCTCCTCCAGCACACCATGAGTATTTAGTAAATATTTACCTCATGTGACTCTAAGAGCTAATTTACAGATGAGAAAACTGAGGCTCAGGGATGCCCTGAGTCTTTTTGCTTTTTTGTGGCGAGATAGGATTGAACCCTGTCCACGACTCCATCTCCCTCTGTCCCTCCAGCACTGACCACACTATCTCAGGCTGCTTCTTCTTTCCTGTAGCACTCAGAGTTCTATAATAGTCGATCATTATTAGTTTTTTACCTTCATGATTGGTACAGAAGAAACGCCCTTCCTCCTTACCTTTATGTGTTCAATTATTTCTCCATCTTCTGGCACATCAGGATCTATAGCAACGATGATGTCTTCATAGCCATTGTCCTTCAGCTGCACTAGGGACGCGTTTGAGCCCCCCAGCAGGTGCAGGACTAAGAGGGGAACGAGGGCTCTGAACAGCCCCATTGTTCGTCTCTAGATGTTCAAAAGGCTTTTCTTGTACCTTGTTTTTCTCCATGTATATATACTCCTAAAAATTATCTGTTGTTGATTATGGGATGGAGACTGTGTAAAGGTCAATGTTATTACACATACAGAAAAATATGTGACTTTAGCTTCCACAATATTTATTGCACATTATTGAAAATTAAGTGTTCAAATGGCATAATAGATATGGAATATGTTTATCAAATGTACTGCACATTTTCTTCCTGATACTGTTTTATACTTCCTAATTTTCATTAATTCCCTAAATATAGGCATAAACTTTACAGTTTATAGAATGTAATGTGAACTTTATAGTTTATAGAATACAATGTGAACTTTATAGAATGTAATGTGAAAACTGAGCATTTCAGTTCATGAAGTATAAACCCGTTCAGTGTGCATCTTCCTATGTCCAAAATAAATTGAACAGATGTGATAATGATGTGGCTCAGTTTTGTAAAACAATTTAATTATTATCTAGATCATTTTTTTATCTAAATGATGGTATACAATCATAAGTATAAATACTTAAATGAGGTAAAATGTATTTAAACTCAAAAATTTTAATGCCTGTGGTAAATTTCAGATTTGATAAATTCAAATTATTAAATTTTTTAAAATCCTGTTTAGGATAGTATGAACAGAATTTGTTTTATATCTATACACAACAAACACAACTGGTACTTTAGTGGTTACTGTGAAAGTAGCATGAATAACATTTATAGTTAATTGTTCATCAGTATTTACAAGGGCACAGGCTGTCTCACTCAATCCTTGCAGGTATGTGGTATATCATCTTCACTTGACATATGCAGAATCTGAGTCAAGCAGAGTTTAAAACTTGTCAAGATCATACATGTAGTGAGTGGCAGAATCACACTCTATTTCTAGTTTTCTTATCCAGGGCTAGGGATTTAATCATCTCATAAGAAAGCAGCATTGTTTTATGAGGCAAATAATGTAACCAGTTAAAAAATAAGAAAAAGATTTAGTGTAGGAGTTATGATGATAAATCGAGAATGTAGTGCTCTAAAGTAAAATTAACCAGGACACATGAGAACCCCAAAGAGGATCCTGTCTCAAACAAATAATCCAATCAATAAAAATAGAATATATCAACTGTCTTTAAGAATTCGGATGAGAAAAACATAATTTTGAAATGTTGACCACATCCCTAGGACAGTGTTTTATCGTAGGCGATTACAGTCTGCTTTCTCAGGCGGCATCACACAGCTTCCTTCACTCTCTCAGGAGCATCACAGAGTAATTGTACTTGCAGAGACTGAATGGAGCGGTTGCACTGGAACCCCCGGGAAACTGAGATGACCTGGAGTAGGTGCAGGATGGGATATTAATAAACTTATATTTTATAATCTTCTTCTGGTTCCCTCATTGACCTCCCTCCCTAATACTCTCCTCCTCTTACCTAACTACACGGTGCTAGCTTCAAGCCTGAAGCAGACCTCCATCACATAGAGTTTGTATTTAGGAAATTACTTTGGCCAGTGAACTGATATAAAAAGAGGGGTGGGGAAAGGAATGAAAAAAGAGTTAATTTCCGTTATGTATGTGTATCAACTGCCCACGAATAATATAATTATTATGTACTGCAAACATGAGCTAACAATAATCAAAAACAGAGTTAATGTGATAGTAAATCCATTGAGTACTATTTTGGCCATATCCAACAAGGTTTAATATATAGTTAAGTCTAAATTATTTCTTTTGTTCTGCTGATGTATTTGACATTTGTTTTTACACTGTTTATACATTTAATTTCTTTTAGTTTCTTCTCTTAATTCTATATCAGATTAGAGGTAACTAGTACACTTAATGCTAAGGTTATTTTGCTAAAATCTTCCCAGTATCTTTGAATACTATACACTAATTTCAGATCTGGTCATACTAATGTTTCTATTAATTTTTAATATGATATTTAGATTGATTACATGCTATAATACAAAACAGAAAAATATTTTATTTTTGCAAAAAATTATGACACATGTTTTCTGTACAAAGCCTTCATTATGTGTACAAATATTTAACTTCAAAATATCAATTTTTATGTCTACTTATAACATCATAAGTCAAAAACAGTTTATAAAGATAAAACAATTCATTTCAATATGATGCACAAACTATGTGTATGTAAGGAAATATCAGTGAAACTCATTAATATGTAAAACTTTTAGTACTGATATTGTCTACTGAAATCATGAGACAATATCAAAAGATTCTGTGCTATAGTATTCACATATTGGGCAAACATTTAAGTTTTTAGTAGAACTTACAATTATTGTGTTATTAATGCTCAGACATTTTGCAAACTCAGTAAGATTTTTTTCCTCAAAGGGCCATAAACAGACAGATTTATGTTTTCCCACATTGAATTTTTTGTAAGAAAAGGTCTTTATCTATTCTTTACAGGAAGAATAGTATGCCACATGTAAAAAACAGAGTGATTTTGTTTTTCTGCATTTTTAATATCTCATTGAAGGCTCTTCTTTGGGACTGCAGATAAACAACATTGAGTTCTCCAGGGAGAATAAGAGCTTCTGATTACCATGGCAATGGAAGGTTCTTCTGTCATGGGACTCTTAAATTATGAACCAACCACATGCTAGGGCAGTGCTAGACATATTCTTTCCTATGGGAGGAGGATTTGCTCTGTAAGTGAGGTAGTCATGTGGTCTAGGATTTATTTTTTTATTTTTGTAGAAGAAATCACATTTCTAATATTTTTGCTTTAAAATGAATAGCTTATTTTTGATCCATGAAGCTAGATTACCCACCATTTGACATTTTTTTCTGAATGAAACTCTGGATTTTCGTTGTGATAAGGTACTCATCATTAACACAGAAAGTAGGATGCAAATAGTTTGGAATTTATTGTGTGAGACCTGTTTCTTCCTGCACCTCTTTGGATCTCTCTGTTGGTAAGCTGTATATTCTGCTATGCATTCCTGTGCAGCCAGGTTCTGTCCTGCCTTCTATAGGCAGACCTGAGCTTAGCTCTCTTTCCTAACTACTTGTATCCAATTAATAGGAGGGGTAACTATGCTTGGACCTAGTGAGATAAGCATTTCCTTTTCAGAGAGCATTTTTGAAGGGTGGAGGAAATACATTCCTGAGTTCTCAGATGAAGGAGAAGCATTAGAATTCCTTATCACGGTCTTAGGTCAGACCATACTTGTTGCTTTTACTTCACCACTAATATGTGGACCATCCGCCTGATTTCTATGTCTGTTTGTAATCAGTTCCATACTCTGAAAGAGGAATGGCTGTGTTTTGTTTTTGAAAATTTAAAACCTCAATACGCTAAACTAGGAACAATGTGAAATCACAGAGCATTTAACATTCTTTGGACACCGTTATTAAGGACTGCTCATCAGCCTCCCTCCCTCCCTGCATGTTTGTTTGTTTTCTTTCTTTCATTCATTTTCTTTCTTCTTATTGTGCTGTTTCCTCTTTTCTTTTCTTCTTCCTCATTCCTTCTTGGACTGTTAAGTTCTTAGAAATCGAAATACTTTCTATACTCCAAAGCATTACTTCACTCTTTCCTACTCTTCATCTCATCTTGCACACTCAAGCCCATTGGGGGAGGTAATTACGTCTATAAAGAGTTATATAGTCTGGCATAAACACAGGGATGTAGCTACCTCCCTACAAGTTCTCTGCATGGAGTTACAGTGTGGCTGATGATTTCATTTTCTGTCCCTGGTGGAGGACTGTGCTCTGTTCTACAAATTTCTTTAAAGTATTTATTGAATGATTCTGTTTTTAAGAATTTTTCCTCTACTCCTGGGTAATTTGTCAGCCTTTTTACAAATTTCTTAGCCAGCAGGATATTTTGGCTCTGATTTACCTTCCTCGTCTTGAAGCTGATGTATGTATAATACCACATTTTCTTTCCAAATTTTTCAAAAACTGATCATTACCTTTGGCAGGACAATCTTTTACTTGCTACTTAGAACTCATCACAATTTGGCTTTTATTTACCATTTCTAGTTGTATCTCCATACACTACTTATAATAAATCTTACTCTCTTTCCAGAGTGATATACTTATGTTTTGTGAAAAATTATATTTACTTTCCACTATTATATGATTAACACACTCAGTTTTCTAATGCTGATTGCTTTCTGATGAAGCCTTATCTTAGCAATCTAGTCTCTCATTTCTCTTTTATTGACTTCTCTACCCTTTGTACCAGAAAAGAATTTTCCATACAGGAAGTCCCCTAGACTTTGGATTAAGAGTTGCTATTTTGAATAGTCATGTAACAAAGTTTTAGAATTTTGAGAACTTGTATCTAGAAGGAGTCTTAGAGATCACCACAAATTTAGAGTTGAGAATACTAATGTCCAAGTAAAACAACTGCTTACTGGCAAAATCTGGACTGAAGAGACCTGAATTTTAGTCCATTGTGATCTCCTGCCATGACTTCCTACCAGCCAATGCTGAAACTTGTCCTCCAGAGTCTGTTATCCTATTTATTTTTGTTATACTCCCTATATCCTGAGCTCAACATTTATTCTAAGTAGATGTGAGCATACCCAATATGACAGAAATATTTTAGCACATGATTATTAAAGAATTTCTTGGCTAGCAGTGATCTCAGCTATTCTGCTGTCACTGCCTGGGACCCAGGGCGGTCCATGATTATTCTTCTTGTGATACATTCCACGCTGCACATACAGTCATCATCCCAGGCCTTTGGAGTAATGGACTTTGACAGACAGGTCCTGGCTTCCTAGGTATGAGTTTGCCAAGGTCAGCTGAAACAAAGTACCAATGACAGAGAAGTAGCATGTGAAGACATGTCCCAGGCTCAGTATGACAACCTCATGGGCCTCCTGCTGCTGTGTCCAAGTGGGAGTCTCTACTGAAGCCTTCTAACAAATTGTTAAGTAGATCATTCAGAGAGTATCTATAATCTTAACTAGAAAACAGTTTGACATGGTGACAAAAAGCTGTTG